GTTTCTACGGGTTCTGGGTTGGGGTTTTTGGGTTAATTGGGGTTTTCGGGTTGAGGTTTACCAGTTAATGGAGGTTTTCTGGTTAGGGATTCAAAAAGAGGGAAGGTGGCTGGAGAAGGATAAGAAGGGGGAGGGGTGGTCGGGAATCGATTTAAGGGACGGGAATGGGATGGGAGGTCGAAAAAGGTTGGGAACGGGGGAGTGGAAGAGGGAGGAGGGCAAGCTGCCGGGAAAGGGAGGGAAGGGGGAGGGGGGCTGTCGGAAAAAGGGAGGGAAGGAGGAGGAGGGAGCTGCCGGAAAAAGGGAGGGAAGGGGAGGGTGGAGGTGGAGGGGACGAGGCAGCCATTGATGAAGGTGAAGGGGAAAAAAAAATAAAAAAAAAATTATTAATTAAAAAAAAATTATTAATTAAGAGTTAATTAGATTATTAAACGAATTTATTGAAAATTTTAACTGGTTATTCAGGTTGTAGGTAAAATAACTTGTTTAAAGCGAACACCCCCCAAAGGTCGTATTATTCTGAAATAAACAAAAGGCGGACTTGTTTTTAGCGAACGGGTAAAAGGTGGTATTATTTAAAGCAATTTTTCCTAATAATAATAATATAAGTAATAACTTTGACATGCATGTAGCATTAACTAGGTAAAAAGTTATACTACTCCGTATTATTATTATTATTACTATTATTATTAATTATTACGAAGTATTACTATTATTATTTATTATTATTTTTTTGAGAGAATTATACTTTGTATATATTAATTTTATTATTATATTCTAATTGTATAAGAATTATTACGGAGTATATATGTTATTACTTATAAAAATCTCATGTACTAACACGGATATAATCTACTACTACTCCATAGTGGCTACGTATTAATAACATTTTTAACTATTAAAGGCACCAAAAATGGATAGGTTTTTTTTTTTTTTTTTTTCAGGAAAGGATGCTTTAAAATTTAATGAATGACAGACGTACAAAGGCTGCTTTTATCAAAAAATAAATATAGGCTCAAGTAATAATATAAATTAAAAACTACTCGTAAAAATTAAAAATAATTAACCTGGTGCCCGTGTGTTGAATTCAACATGGGATCTTTTCTTTGCTTTCTGAATTTTAATTATTTTTAAAAAAATTACAAAATGAAACGTCACTTTGCCTTTGGTGTTTTCTGTCCTTTAATGGAACACAAGCGTTGTCAAATATCACTCTCTTTTGAGCTTATTAATGAAATTAATCAATTAATTAATCATAATCGTAAACTACTAAAGAAAAGCATGTCATCTATCCATCATCATTATCTTCACATGATTGATATGAAGAAAATAAAGTTAAGTTATCTAATCATGACCTAACCTACCAATGCCATCACTTTATTTAGTCTAACCTCATCCTAATAATTCTTTAACCTTTCACCTTTATATACATACATGCATGAATTAGAAAGTTCTACAAGAAAGTCATTAATACGATATTATACCGTCTTTGTTTAATTTTTTAACGCTTTATTTATACAATTAGCATCAATCATTCTGTTTTTTGTTCTTTGTTCTTCGATTTATTTCATTTCTTGTTATCAAATGTCACACTTTTACCGCCTTATTTTACACAATTGAATCCAATTTGCAATATCAATGCTAATTAGATTCATATATAATTCAATAATTGATATTGCCTATTTTATAATACAAGTAAATTTTGGTTAAAGTAACGTACTTTGAACAAGAGAGAGCATGAAACTATGGCTAGTCTTACCTTCTAGATTGATGTAAATGTACACTAATTAAGTTTTCAAGATCCCTTTTACCGATTTCCTTACCTTGGTTTTACACAATTGACTGCTTGCACTTTTCAAAAAGGTTGGCCTTGCTTAATGGTGCTTGAATGTTGAATCCATATATTTGATTTTAAAGACCAAAGTATCCAAAAAAAAAGATTTTGCCTATAGCTTTTAGTCAATATGCCATCTACTTCTGATTTTTTAAACTATTTAAAAATCTTTTACGACACAAAAATAATGAATAGAAAGAGCTGAAATAGTAATACCCTACAGTCTTACACATACATGGTGTTATAGAAGAAGTGATGTTCCATTAATATTATTATATGTTTAATATTTAAGATGCGCTTTGTTCACCTTATAAAAATAATTTTTAAGTCTAATCAAGTCTGATTTGGTGAATTATTAGGCAATGTACATATAACATGAAAATCAAGTTTAATTAGTTGAATTTAGACGAGTTCAATTGAAGTGAACGCACCCTTAAATAGATAAAATAAAACGTGTATTATTATATGATGAAATTAGTTAAAATAATGTTTAAAGGTGTATTATTTAAGTTCTATACATTAGCATGTTATGACAATGATTTTCTACATAATTTGCATTTATCATTTTGCCGCCTTGATATATTTGTTGCAATAATGAGAAATATGATCATTTACAATATGTTTTGCACTATCATTGTGATGATGTAACTATAAATGGAAGACATTCCAAGTTTTATGAGAAAAGGGGTGGATAACCTACAAATCCATTTTTTTGTATTAAAAGTAGTAGTTATTGCAAGAAATTCTGCATGATTGGACAATTGGATAATGTAATTTATTGCGATTTTGCCTTTTAGGGTATATAGTTGATTAGTTATAATTGTACATCTAAATTATTGTGTATCGTCCCATATAAATGCACCTAATAAACTTTGATATATGTTTTCTTGGATTGGTACATGCATCCAAATGTTATTTAATTTGCAATTGTGCATTAAACTCTTTGAGAAAATTTCTACGAGTCATATGCAAATTATGTTTCCACCATCAATTAAAATCTTAAGTTAGTCTTGTTAATGTTATATATAGATCTTATCTGCGTTATATGAATAAAAGGGTAACACTTGTTGTAAATTGTCATGAGATTTATCTTTGTTATTAGAAACTTGTTTCAAACTATTTCTTGTGTTTCAAATTACATTAAATTATAAACAAGTTCATAGACACACACTTCAAGAAATAGAATAGAGAAAAAAAAATTGACATAGTTAAAAAAAATATTTAACTCCAGCTAAAGTTCTGAGTCATTAGATTATTAAAACTATCGATTGATTTGACCTTGTTTTGCTATTAGGGCATTCAATCTTGAAGGTGTATCAATGTCATATTCGTGCTAGAACTCGTAGAGAAATGGAGGATGAAGTAGAATTTTTTTGTTTTTTTGGAACAAAAGTAGAAAGTTGGCAATTTAGAAATGGTATTATGTATTAAAAATAATTTAAAAGATACTCATTATATGTAATTTATAATATTAATTAAGGATTCACAATGAATTTACCAAATTCAGCTTTAAATTTGTTTTACACTCATTCTAAGAGCATTGTCAACAATGAGCAAAAAAAATGCTCATGAGCAAAATTTGGGTGAAATTACAAAAAAAAATAATATGACTTACATCAATGAGGAAAAACAAAATTGCTCATAAGCAAAATGAAAAATGCGCATAGCATTTTTGAAGATGAATAATAACTATGTAGGGCCCACAAGGCAAGTAAAAAAAGGGGGGGGGGAATGATGTTAGAGAGAAATGTAGGTGGGTATTAGTAAAAGTAAGAGAGAATGACGTGGTAGGGAGAGAATGGTGAAGAAATTACTTTTTTTTGCTCATTGGTGGTATAAATATAATCACAAAAATGCTCATGAGTTGGAGGAGGGAGAAAGTGGGTAGAGAGAGAATGAGGAAACCAACTTTTGCTCTTTTATTTTTTTTTTTTATTTTTTTTTTTGACGGAATTTTTGCTCATTGTTAATAGTGCTCTAACAACATGCAATATGAAAGATCCGAGTGAATAAAATGTACGCATTAGTTTTACTATTATAATATTGTATCTTTGCAGGGTTTTTTTTTCAAACATGTATGTAATAGAAATTATTAATTTCAGATGGAAGCAGTATTTGAAGTAAGAGCAATAAATTCATTAAATTATTGCAATGATGTTGAAAAGAATAGATTCATGGGAGGAGCAGTCAAATTAAAAATCATGATCATGTGAAGGATCATGATAATGTGGACCTTCAGTTAGTCCAAATACATAAAACCCACATCTAATGGGCCCATAGAGTAAGAGCCATGCTGCAAGTAGTAGATTACATGCATGAAATTGTGGGGTCCCTCTTCAAAGCTCTTCTATTATTGGAGTAAAATTTAAGAATTTTATTTTTGAACAATAAAAAATGTATTTTATTTTAAAATATTAAAAATAAAAATTGGAGTTTCTTTCTAGTACGGCAGCTTATATAAAGTTACAAAGCCAGAATAATTGAATTGAATTTCATCCATCACTACTAACTCACTCCTATTGTCTTTTAATGCAAACCCTCTTTATGAAGTCCACCTTAGATTTTTGCTTTCTTCTTTGGTTGTTTTTAGGAATGGACAGTGTGCAGAACATTGAATCCACCTCAATCTTCTCTTAGTTTTCATTTTTTAATAAATTATCGTGAATCTATAAAATGAAAGCACGAAAGATAAAGAAGAATAAGATGAATAATAAGAAGGAACTAACGATTGTTATATTGTTACCTAGGTCCACAGGTAAGCAAGAAAGAAGTTATATTAATTTTAAGGAAAAATGAATTGCATTGGCTAGGTCAGTCAATGACCTAGCATCACTCTTGTGTTGAGTTTATTATAGAATGCATACAGATTCTAAGATGAATATATATAATCCTAAAAATAAAATTTTTGACTTTGAGTTCTTACAATCGTATTATGGACATTATTTTATGTCCGCAACAGTCAGAACTCATGTTCGCTTTATTCTCTATGTTGAACTTAGAATAACATATCATATTAGATCTTTTGATAGTCAAGAGATACTGAGTCCGTCACCTTAATTAATTTGACAAAAAGGAAATCAATTTATATTATGAGAAAATTAATTATAAGATAAACAAATTTCCTTTCCTAATCTAAGGTAAATGAGTAATGTACATGGATGCCAAATGAACCCAAACATCGCTAACCCGGGAGATTTTACAAGTCTCTCAGAAAAAAATTGACTAAATATCTCATAAATAGCTACCACAACTCCTCCCAATTTCTTGACAAAAATCGGGATACTGATATGGTTTATACAGGCCAGGCTCTATAATTGGTATCAAAGTTGATAATAAAAAGAATCATATAAACACCTCACAGATTTTATTATATATAAACAGCATCAACAGGAAGTGATATAGTCCTGTGAAGAGCACTTGGTAAGAGTGAACCAGTAAAGTTCTTTGTAGTAGCCAAATTTTGTGTAGTATAAGAACCTTCCATCGCCTCGCATTTCTGAATCCTTGGGATTCTTGAAATGGGGCAGCTCTTTTTTAAGTCTTCGATATTTGATGAATGCTGAACACTCTCAGACTCTGACTGCAAGACACTTCTTTCGTGTTTGGGGCAGCTCTTATGTAAATCTTCGATGTTTAATGAATGCTGAAGACTGTCAGACTCTGATTGCAAGATCCTTCTTTCATGTTCTAATAACAGGTTAAGGTGTAAAGATTGTGTAAACCTGTCATCTCCTTGATCATGATCTCCATGACAGGAACGCGGGGTTGAGGATTTTGATGATATCCCGAGCTGCTGGTCTTTGACTTCTCTCAACTCTATTTGGTACTTGGCTTTAAGCCATCTGAGCCCCCACTGAACTTCATTTTCACCATCATTGGATACATATTGGGTCGGGTTTTCTACACTGTTTTCAACCTTAGGCAAACCAGGGTGGCCTGATTTTTCATGCTCTTCATCGGAATGAATTCCTCCAGAGCCAGGTGAGCTAAGTTCCACACTTTCACAACCACCCCAAGTTACACCATGATTACCACCATTAGTGTGGCATGAAGTGGATAGTTCTGAAGCTTCCACTCCATGATCATCAGAAGCATCAACTTGAAATGTGATCTCTTCGAACCTTCCATGTATAGCAGCAGCACAACCATTAGGGCATTCTAAAAATGCTGGGTTGAACGCTCCAGGATTGCTCGACAAAAAATCCATCAAGGAGCCTATTGAAGTATGGGTAGAAGCACAATTTTCACACAATTTCATATCAGAAAAGCAGGGAGTTTCTTCATATCCTGGACCTTTCTTCCAGCCAGGTACCAGCGCGGATATTTCCCCATCAATCATATCTGCAATGCTAGTTACATCTTGATCAGTAATTTCAAGCTCAGCAACCATTTCAGTTGCAACACTTAAAGCTGTATCCAATTCGATGTCAAAAGGAAAGTAAATATTCCTGATGCGTCCTGCACGAATAAATAATTTGACAGGCTTAGATCCGTGCATGCCAAAAAAAAAAAAAAAAAAAAAAAAAAAAAGTAAACATGGTATAAACATAAATGAGAATATCAGTTTTTCAAAAAAAAAAAAAAAAAAAAAGAAAAAGAGAACATCAAGAGGATGACCTTCTTTATCAGCTATTCTAAGTCGTAAAAAGATGCTGCCATCTTCCCTTCTCTTTCCTTTAATGGTGATGTCGACATCTGCAGAATGGTCATCCTCATGGTGTTCAAATAAGTCAATACCAGAACTTTCAATCTCACTTGGATGATACCCCCACTCATAGAATTCCAAATCAATGCCATTGGAGTACCCATTAAGGTAGGAGCTGTCACTGTTGTAATGTTCAAGGAAAGAAGGCTGTCTCATTAAAGAACCGAGATCATCAAATTCACTTTGGCACTCAGTTGGCCTTGAATCATCATCATAATCATCAATTTGGAGAAATGGGTCATTCAAAAGTTCTCTTGCCGAGAGCCTTGATGAGACAGTTGCCAGACATTTATCAATGAATTGCCGCACCTCTGGATCTTTCACTTTGTACAAAGCATTAGGCTTCTTACCCTAAAAATTAGTAGTGTACGAAATATGGGTAAGAATATGGTAGTGTCCTTCCAAAAGAAATAAATGAAAGTACAGATAAAAAGTGACATGTACTCAAGAAATTCCATGGTGGGTTTTTGTTGGAGGAACAGATTTCTTACAGAGATAACTTTTTTGTAGATTTGAGCCGGATTAGAGCATTCACTATATGGATACTCAAAAGTGACCATTTCCAGTATGCACATCCCAAATGAATAAATATCAACCAATTCATTGTATTCTTCTTCATAGACTTCCGGGGCCATAAATTCTGGTGTTCCTGAAGATTAAAAAAAATTCCGCACATTCATCGTAAAGCTTCTAAACCCATTTGCCAACAATGCCAGTAAATCTTCTACTCCCTATAGTCCTAATCACACCAATAACTTCTAAACTCCATAAACCTTGTAAGTTTATAATGACCTAATCAGCTCACATTCAGCTAAATGTCACAGCTTAATGACAGGACATCGAAACCTCATTTAAAATAGTAAAGTTTACAAGAACTGCATCAAAAACCACACCAAATATAGAGCAAGCCAAATGACAACAATTAGGGATGTTAATGAGCTTGAATACTCCAATTCAAAGTAGCCAAAGCACAATCAAAAGTGAGATCTTTGAAGCTGAGCACTCTAAGCAATGGCTCGAAAGCTCAGAAGTAGTTTAGCTTTTTCTAGCATGTTTATTATACCTTGAGTCCTTGACATAACCTAGCAAAGATTGTAAATTGAAATAAAGTCGCAACAGAATTATTGCAACTTTTAAAGCTAAAGTTGCCTCATTGCAACTTATTGCTCAAGCACAGAACAAGATTAACCTAGGCAAGTAGAGCCAAAGAATAGATTCTCGAAGCTCGACTAACCCAAGTTTGAACTATATCAAGCAGAGCCCAAAAAAAAAACGCACGCTCGAGCTCAGCTCATTATTGCCCCTTATTACCAACACCTAAGTCGTCGGTGGGGTCTAGGCAGTCCATATACATAACCAAATCAGACATCATACATGCATAATTACATTATTAGAACAATGACAACTTAGTGTCACGGTATGCCTATTGGGGCATTGAAGATGTCACAGGTCTGCAACTTTACACCATACAAATGTCAACCTTCCAAGAGCAGACACAAAACCCATAAATAAAGCTAAGTTAAGGAGATGATTGAAGAAGCATACCGACACAATGAGCAGCATGAGATTTCCTGAGTATTGCTGCCAAACCAAGGTCACCAATCTTAACTTCTCCTTGATTACCATTAACAAATATATTATCACACTTAAGATCTCTGTGAATCACTGGTGGGTCATGGCTATGAAGATAAAGTAACCCTTTTAAGATCTGCCTACACCAGTGCTTCACTGCCCTGATGTTTACTCTCCTATGCTTTAGCCTATACCTAACCAAATTAAAGATTAACAAATAATAAGTAAAAAAGTATCAATAACATTATAAAATAAATCCAATTGGCCAAAGAAAAAGAAAAGTTGGCAGATGTTAATATCCGAGATTGATCAATGTCACACACACGAGGAACAATATATATATATACAGCTAATAGAAAATCACTCACTAATCCAGGAAGCGGATTTACAGTTAATTCATGTGCGTAAGATTGATCAATCTCAAATATTAACACAGACTTCCTAGAGAAATGTTGACTTACTGTCTTAAAGTGCCAGAAGTGAACATTTCAGTAACAAAGTTGATATTCCTCTTAGCTGTATCAACCCAGGAAGTGTAGAACTTCATAATATTCTTGTGTTTCAATGTTTTTAGTAGGTGAATCTCACAGTATAGCCTTTCCAGATCTTCTGGACTTTGAAGAAAATCATAAAGTTTTACTTGATTCCAAGCAACTTCAATCCCTTCATATTCATCAAATGCTCTATATCTGTCAACACAAATCACCCAAAAAAAAAATCAATTATTTTACAAATCTAGCAAATACCCATCTCATAAAATTACCCCCAAAATATTTCCCATTAACAAAATAATTTATCTTATTGAGATAAATCAATGAAATCAGTTCTACTCATATTCACCAAAAAAAAAATAAAAAAAAAAAGAAAAAAAAAAAAAAGACTGATTAAATCATGAATTAAAGAGTAGAAGTTCAGATTTCATACACTATCTTGGAAGCTCCTTTCCCAAGAATTTCATTATACTGCAACCAAAAAAAATCAATTTTTTTTTTGAAAAAATTAGCAATAAAACCCAGAAAAATCAAACTAAAAGTGGTAATCATAAATCAAAAAAATTAAGAAAAAATAATTAATTTCTACTTACTCTGCCATATCTACCAGTTGGATCAACTTCAACGAACTCAGAGCACTCATCTTCAAGATTTGAAAAACCATTCATTTCCTTCACCAATCACTAATTTCAGTAAACCCCTTTATTAATTTATTTTTCCCCCAATTTTTTTCTTCAATAAATATATATATCTATAATGTAACAGCTAATTTTATATATAATTGATTTAATCTTTAAGCTCTGACACCACAAAAAAAAAAATACCCACTTCTTTTTGATAAAAAGTTTGATCAATTATTCATGTGATGAGAAAAAAGGAAGGAAAAAAAATGTTATGCAAGACATTTACAGAGCTACCCACTTCTAAGCAGGGAACATGACAAACAAGAGAGAGAAAGAAAGAAGAGTTGTTTCGATTTTTATTTGTGTGTTTGGTTATAATAATAGTGATTATCCCTTTTTTTTCTCTCTCTAAATTCCGTGAAAGTTTTATGTATACTTTCTGTACCTTTTGTTGCAAATTATGAATTGAAATGAAATGAAATTTTTGAGGGGATTATATATTTTTATATGGTGAGGAGATTGTGGCACATTGGATCCAAGCTATAGTCTTTGAGAGAGTGAGGTATAGTTATTCTCTCTCGTTTTGTTAGATCTTGGGATTAATTTTATCACCCGTTTTTATAGAGTTATAGCTTTCTAAACACCAAAAAACTTGTAATACTCTTTTCATGTCTTATTCTCTTCGCCTTATTTTTGCTGAATTAAAATTATTTTTCTTATTGAACTAAAATTAATTAAATTAAACTTAAATTATTTTGTACAGTCTTAGGGATGCATATAGCATTATCTTTTTTTTAGGAAAAAGATATATGCAACCCTTAAACATTAATTACACCGATTTACTCGTGAATTTATCCCAACTTAATACTAAAAAGGAAGTATATTAAATGCTTGCATATAGCATTACCCTTTTTTTTTAGGAAAAAGATATATAAGAAGCTAAAAATGAAAAGAATAGACCATAAATAAACATTAATTACACTAATTTACTCGTGAATTGTCGATAATTTCCCAGCTTAATACTAAAAAATGAAGTATATTAAATGCTTATTTGCAGCCCTTAAGGCTGCATTGCATATAAATTACCCTTTTTTTAAAGTTATTGTCTTTACTGATTTCAAACAGAAATTATTTTTACTGAATTGAAATTATTTCAACTTAACTAAACTATTTTTACTGAACTGAAATTAATTTTATTGAAAATTAGTTTTTTAATGTGAAGAGAACAAGGCCTTATTTGGCTTTCTACACAACAATTTTTATATTTGAAAAAACAACAAGGCTTCAAGTTAAGTTATACTGATTCGACCGTATATGAATTTACGTGAAATTTTTTAATACTCACTTTGTTCCTTATAAGCACGCTTTTAAATGTAATATTGTAATTAAAAGATCTTAAACTACGTATTGTATAAAATTATATATTTGGAAATTAAAAATTGAGACAAATCTAAAAAAATCTCATATGAATATATTTTTTAATATATATATCTTATTCTTTAATATTAGATTCAATTTTTATTTGAGTCTCCTAAGATTTTAAATAGGACAAATAATACATTAATATTGGGTTGATTTTGAATATATAACACTATATAATGGGGGTTTATATAAGGGAATAAAAATGAAAATAGTAGGGTTTGGTTATGTTAATATTGAATGAAAATAGATCAATTTGAGATGCGTATAATATTTTGGATGGATTTTTTTTTTTTTTTTGTGGGGGGGACACGGGATAGTAATATGTTAGACTTCGTTTAGTTTAACTTTTTTACTTATTTTAGAAATATACTAGTTTTAAACCCGTGCAATGCACGACTGTATAATGTAATATAATAATTATTTTTGTATTTGTATTTTTGCTTAGTATTTTAATTTCATATAAGAATAGTAATCTGTAAAAAATATTTTAATAGTAGTGTTAAATAAGAACTCCGTATTTTAAAAGCACTAATAAAAAAAAAGTATTTTAAAAGTAAAACATAGTTAAAAGTCTATCAAAATTTTTACAAAAAAATAAAAATAAAAATAAAATAAAAGTAAAAAAAATAAACGTATGTCATAAATAGGCTCACTTAAACATAATTTGCATCCCGCTTTAATTTTCACTTTCACTGTTAACCCGCAATCACCTTTATGCAAATTAAAAATAACAATTTTATTAGATTTGAAAAACAAATTGATCATACATAATAACATAAATGAAACTTAAAATATGAATACTTATATAGTGGAATGAAAAGTAGAACGGAACTTACTATTTTCAATAGGGTGATGGTCTATGAACAATTAACTTCCCTTTATAAAAACACTAACCTTTCATAAAAAAATAAAAAAATAAAAAATATATTAAAAAAAAAAACACTAATTTTGGGTTTAGCATCCTGTATTTACATTTTTAAAACATGTTGAAGTGAGTCCTTTGTAAGTTAGAGAACACTTTTTTCACAATTTTTTTTTAAATAATAGTTATTATTATTATTATTACTATTATTACTATTATTATTATTATTGTCGCATTATTATTATTATTATTATTATTATTATTTTATTATTAATTATTATTATTACTATTATTATTATTACTATTGTTATTATTATTATCGCATTATTTTATTATTATTATTATCGCATTATTTTATTATTATTATTATTATTGTTGTTATTATTTTATTATTATTATTTTCATTATCATTAATATTATTAATATTATTATTAGTATTATTACTATTAATATCGCATTATTATCATTAATTATTATTTTTAATTTTATTATTATTATTATTATCACATTATTATTATTATTATTATTATTTTTATTATTTTTATTATTAATAATATAATAATTATTATTATTTTATTATTATTATTATTATTATTATTTGATTTTAAAAGATTTTTTCACTCTTTTTATAACATTAGAAAATGTGTTAAAAATATTATCAAATATTAATTATTATCATTAAATATTAGTTATTATCATCAATTAATATTATATATTAATTATTATTATTATTATTATTAAATATTAATAATAATTATTTTTTTTATCAAATATTAATTATTATTTTTAAGTAGAGCAGAGTAGAACAGCTCAAAAGAACAGGGCTTTAGTTTGAAAAAGGTTAGTTTTTTTTTTTTTTTTTTTTTTTTTGTAAGGGCATGATCAATTTTCATGTATAAAGTTAGTTTCAAAATTAAGGTATTTGTAAAGGCATGATCAATTTTTATGTATAAAATTAGTTCGAATTTTAAGGTGTAAATGCATGATTTTTTTGTTTTTTTTTTGTTGTTGTATAGTTTTTAATCAGAAAAAACAGGAAGTGGACACGTGTCCTTCCAACTTCCTATTTTTAAATTATAATATAGATTAGATAAAATATGTTTTAAATAAGTTTCGATATCGTATTGCAATTTAGTTTTGACACACTCATAAATAATTTTCTATGGGTGGCATTCGAGGTAGCAGTTGGCCAGGTCAATGCATTAGTTAATTGGATAAATTGTACTTTCTCTGTTCCACAAATATTGCAACAAGGATGTAATTACGCATCCAAAAGCACATTTTATATGTTAAATATCTATAATTATATAAGAAAAAAATTTAAAAAAAAGTTGATATGTGAAAGTATTTTACGAGACGAATCTAACAAGATCGGGCCCTCATGACTATATTTTATTTTACGTACAAATCATAATTTGTGGTCAAACAAGCATGATGAATAGTACAAAAGTCCTGCAATATTAATAAAACGAAGGAAGTAAGTGTTTGACAAGGTAGTGGTTCATGTAATAATTAATGGTAAAGATAACAATTATTATCAAACTTTAAATATTACCACTTCAAATATAGCAGGTAGCATTTGATCAAATTATAGTTAAGTTAAACAATATATATGACCTTTCTTTAATTTACAATTCCAAAAACTATTTTTATGGAACAGACATATTGTCAACAATCACTATAATTTTAAGCCTTTATTAATATAAGTTGTAAATTATTTGTTGCTTCGTTGACTACCTGTTTTTGCCAATTAAATAAACAAACTGGTGATCAAATAGTGAAAGTAATTTAAGATATACATCAACTTACTCTCTTTGTCCCTTTTTAATTTACCATGCATTTTTCTTCTAAGATTATCTAAATAATTTACTTGCTTTGATTCATTTTAGGTTTATATACGTTTTAATTTCCCTTTCTATTTTGAATTAGGTCTCACAATCACTCATTTATCTATTGGATCTCTCTCTACCATTTGAATTACATATGAGTAGAATATTGCACTACGCTAATCACTGGAGTATAAAACTAATACTATTAGGCTAGTTTTCAATTTTTAGACGGATATACCTAAAGAGATTGGTTATTTTGTGCTCATTTACTCATCTTATACTCATTCCGTCAATTGTAGACTTTCAAATTAGGGACATTGAACGATCGCTTATTAAAAAAACCTTGTATATACACCTAACTTTAAATATATCCGATTATAAGAAGGGTGTTGGGCCACAAATTTGTTTGTAACATTATTTATGTAATTTTTATGCTAAAAATATTGCTTGTATAATGTTATTGCTCCTAGATCCGTGAGGTTTTGGGACCACAATGTATACAATTTCTTGATATTTTTTAATATTTCACTGTATACACTAGTTCTTGATATTTTTCCTTCTAATTTTTATTTTTTTGTTTGGATTTGGAATTTTGGATTAACATGAAAACAACTTCGTATAAGTTAATTTTTTGCTGTTGAATTTTGGCTATTTGATGCAATTCAGTGGATTCAGCTAACTTATTCAAGATTATACCACGGGCGCCGACGGATGTATACGAGGAAGCCAGGAAAAATGTAAGTTATTATTTGTGTCATTTTAAGTAGTTGACATTATATATATTCACTTATTTATGTTATTATTCTGCATATTGATTTTAGTCAATAATTTATCGTACGGAGTAAAGAAAATTTTAATGAATTTGTCATCTACTTAAATATATTTTCAAATAAAATATCAAATTTTTGTAATAGGTTAATGGTCAACACCATGCATTAAACAAATGTATCAATTCAAAATAAAATAGTTACTGTATGTAGTAAAAATATTAGAGGAAGGAAAACAGAATAACATAAATTTGGATGATGAAAAAAGAATTGAGAGATCGAAAATAATAACTCACTTTGACAATCACCCAATTAAACGTACAATGACGAAAAAGAAAACGTAGAATGCCTAATAAAAAAACTAACGACATTGTAAATCAAGCAAAATCCCCTTCTTTATTTTTCGTACATGCTAGGATATTGAAGGGGAAGATATATTCGATTTGAACATGTTTGTCAAGAAGCTAACAAAGTTGTGGACTTTTAAATAGTTTTTACACATCCATTGCACACCAAAGTCAAGATTATAAGCACACAGTTAATTGACTATACTATAATATAAATCTTATTAGTAATTGAATTAAACTAGAAAGTTGCCTTGAGAGAAGACAAAATTAGGGGGTAAGTTTATTAAATTAATTTCTTCTTTTGAATAAGGCTGCTCAAGCGTTTCTTGCATTGTGTGAGATATTAGCGGTGG